CTGTTTGCTGTAGAAATAAGCACAGCAACCTGGCTATACATAGGGGAAGAAACCTGAATGCCGCATTTGCTGTGGCTCTTTGCTCCCCCGAGGGGTCTGAATGGAAGCATAAGAGCAACTGTGTGGCCCGTGCTTGCTCATGGTGGAGCAAGGTTGTGATCATCCCCACCCTGAGCTGGAGGCACTAGGGAACTCTCAGCAGACAATTCAATTGGGGCCTCCAACCCACCCCAAGCCAGATTCAAAATCTTCTCAACCTGGAAGTTGCAGTCATTTAGGATGTCTGCCTGCAAGTGGCTGTGGTTTGGATGGGAGGCTAATGTCTCTTTGCCATCATTTTACACAAAATTCCACTAATGACATAGCTGGTCCTACACAGAGCTTTGCTTGTTAAACTGGTTCCTCTCTCTGGTTGGGGTTTTATCTGTTTACCTGCTTTGTTTTGTTTTAGGAAACGGCCCCACTCTGTAGCCCAGGATGGCCTCAGAGGCACTATGTAGCCGCAGACTAAGAACAATTGTCCTGACACAGAAGGCTGGGGTTGCGGACATGAGACACCACATCCCCTTGCTGCCTGGGTTCTGATAAAGCTGTTGCCCCTCTCCATGTCTCTCAAGCTTAGAATCTCCAGATCACCACCGCCTCACCCAAATTCTCACCTACTGGACACATCCTCCCATCTGCTCCTTGCTGCCAATGGCACCCCCCCACCCCTGTCTCAGCTTCAGCTCGGTTGTTCATTATGACTCCAACAGACCATCATGATCTACTCCTAATCATTCTCGAAGCTTCAAGTCTTCCTTTGTTCAGTCCTTCCAGTCACTGCCACCCAGCTCCCCAATGTGCCGTTTTGATCATGCAAAGGAGCTTCTTGTGGCCTCTTGTCAGCTCAAGGTCTTTCCCATGTTCTAACTCACTTTTGCACACCTGGACTGTATGTAGCACCTGCAGTCTTTTAACTGAGTTAAAACACTCCTTGTCACCTATCCACGCTTTGCGCTTGCGTTTCATTCTCTTCTGAAGCCATTTTGTTGTACCTAAAACACCTCCACAAGCCTCAAAATCATCTCCAGCCAGGAAACCTGACCTTGTTAACAGCTACCATGGTGCCTCCTTCAGAGTCTTCCACAACAAGCTGGGCTCTGTAGTGACTCTGAGGGGGAAGCCATCCAGCTTTGCCATTTGAGCGTAATGTGGCAGAGACAGCAACTTTGAGAGCTTGGGGGACAGGAAGTGTGCTACCTCACCTTTGTATACCCATGGGTATAATGGGCTCTCTGTACTTGCCTATGGGATCTGATGAATTAGTGACTCTGTTGTGTAAACAGATCAGGTCTTCTGAAAGCCTAGCACACCTGGAACTGTCCTGCGTCATCCCTTCCTCCTCTCAATTCACCTAACAAAACAGCCTGCTGCTTTTCAGACCCAAGCCCATCAAACACCTGTATCGTCATTATCAACACTAACACAGCCTCATCTCGCACTTTTTATTAATGTCTAAAGTGCTATATTCCGGGTGTTTGGAATAATCTCAAAGAGAACACCTGTTACTTAAGTGCTCTTATTTGCAACCTCTTGAGGGCAATTTATTCATTACTATATTAAAGTGGGTTGTTTAATAACTTATAACTGTCAGAGAAGAAAGGTAAATTACAGTCACTAAGCTCAAACTGGATACCTAAAAGGAATGTATTTTTCCACTTGCAATTCTTTATTTTTTTTCCCTAATTTCAATCCTATTTTCTAGGAGCAATTAAGAAATGCAATGCAAACTAGTGAAAGCAAAGGAAATTTATTTTTGCTGCCAAACTCCTATTCAACCTTAGTACCTCATTAACTATTCTACTCTTGACTTCAGGATGCCATATTCATTATCATAATTGTATATGTGTCTTTAATGCCTCTTTATAGCTCAAAGAAGCCCCCAAATGATTAAAACCATTAACCTAATTACCCAATAATTAAAAATTTGAAACTCTGCATGGTAAATTTCATTCTGGAGAAAAAAAAAGGTACTAACTGAATCTAAGCAAGACACACTTTTAACTATATGGATTTATAAGGAGTCATGATGGTTATATTTCTACATAAAGACTTCATGATGTTTACATGCATAAGAATTAATGCATGATAATTAAAAGGCAAATGTGGGGCTGGAGAGATGGCTCAGTGGTTAAGAATGCTGATCTTCCAGAGGACCAGGGTTCAATTCCATCTCCACACGACAGATTGCAAGACATCTAGATCCAGTGTATCCAAAGCCATTTTCTGGTCTCTGTGGGTACTGCACACATGTGATGTACAGACACATGCAGGCAGAACACCCATATACATAAAACAGTTTTTATTAAAGATAGACTTTGGAAGGTTCAGTCTTCATTATGAGAAATCAGTGAGTGCAGAGAAGGGAAAGGATGGGGGAAATGTTAGAACAGGCAAAGGAGGCAGCAGCAACGCAACTCTGGAAAACTTACCTAGAGGAACAAAACACCAAGCTTTTACTAGGCTAGGATATGATTAGGTGTCATCAATGATGGTTAAGGGGCTCCTAATGATAGAAGAAAAGTTATTTATATATTCTTTGAATGTAATGTTTGTTTGAAACAGTTGCTTTGAAAATGGAGCAGGGTTCAGGGAAAAATTAAACCGGTCAAATGTGCTGAGTTCATACCTCAGTCTCATATAAGAGGAACACACTCAAAAGGAGAGAACGAGAAGAATACAGAAAAACCAGGTACCACCACCATCACCACAGACTGTTGCCATGACTTAAATAATTGCCATATGCCAGGTACTGTCTTAGGAGCTTTGGTGCAGCATCTCATTTCATGTCCACATAATAACCTTTGCCAGATAGGTGTATTGTTCCCAGTTTGTGAGTGGAGAAATGGAAACAGTGAGATTAAGTCTCGTTAGGCCCTAATAATGATGATGTTAATGTATTAAAACAAAGGGAAAAAAGCAATTTCATTGGAGAGTACCATAAGTTAAATGGAAGAAAACACAAACAACTAAAAATACACAAATACATAGCAGAAGTCAATGCCAAAGAAATTAATAATAATAACAATAAATTCCTCACCCTAAACAAGTGAAACTAAAGTGACCCAAGATCTTAAGCTCCCTATAGCACCTTCCACCTACCTTCCCTTCTCAACTCTACAAGCTTGTCTTATTTATAGCCACTGTCACTGCCCTGGGGGAAAAGAGAAAAGAAAAATCTCCCTTCTCCCATGTCAGCTTCCAAATACAAAAAGGCAACTTTCTTCACACTCTGGTCTGCAGAGTAAGGGCTGAGCTCACAGGAAACAACAGCCACTGAAAACCTGATTTGCTGTGCCTGAAACAACCTCCATAGCCACAACTCTAGGCATCAAGAAGACAGGCTGAGGGTGCCAAGAACTATAGTCTTGAAGAAAGTGCTGTATATGAACAATATCAAATGAAAGTTATGAGCTGAAAGAGAACAATTTTTAAAAAGCCATAAAAATAGGAGAAAATTAATTGTGGATTAATAAGAAATATAAAAATAACAAACAGACTACTGTCTAAGGTTCTACAAGTATCCTCCAATTCAGGAGGGACTTTTGTAGCTCTCACACATAACAGGGATGTGGAAAGAGTAGGAAGGAATTTGTGATTTTATAGGCTCTTCGGCATAACAATTATTAATTGTTTTTATTTCTTCCCATGACTTTCTAGGACCATAGAGAAATTGACATTTAGTGAAAATTGTGATTAGTTTGTTGATCTTCAACTTATCAAAGTCTTTAAGAAGGACATGATGAATAATGTAGCTAATGAATAACAAGAGATTAACAAAACAAATTATTTTCCCAAGCATATCTTAATATTAAAAGGTCATGCTGACAGATATGTCGCAAACATATGAGACTTGGGTTTAGTTCATTTCAGTTGGTCTATGCAAAATCATAAACCTTCAGATGTCAAAGAGAAAAAAATTACAAAAAAGTCCTTCCCACAACTTTTGCTATTGTGCTCAATAGCATCCAAAGTCTAGAGAAACACATGTCTCTATGAGACAAGATATAGTCATGAAATGACCATAGAACCAAGGGTAAAAACTTTCCATTCTTAGGAACTCTGAGGAAGTCTCACAGAAAGTGACATCCAACTCCACCACTCGGGGACCAAAGGAATGAGAACTGTCTTTCAGATCCAGCATCTCATATGAAGTTCAAATCACTATAAAAATGAAAAGACAGGAAAACCACATAATAGCATGTTGGACTTGCTTTTCTATTTGAATCTAGCATGTTCACTGTGCCTATTGCCTTGGGAATTGCTAAAAATATACCAATGGGGGTATTTTACAAACTAAAACTCTACTTGCTCCCCTATATCTAAAGCTGACTTCTGTATCCAACCTTGAGGATGACTAGTCCCTTTAATTGTCTGACCTCTCTAAACTCCACTGAAGCAGACATGAAGAAGACCTGAATGGGCCAGAGATTCAGTCTTCCCATCTTTCCTCCTCTTCTGCATCTTTCCTACCTTGGAACTCATGCAAACTTACCAAAGAAAAAGTAGGCATAAGTATGTAGTTAAGTATTCCATTCACCTTCCAACCTTGAAATACAGTATGAAAAAAAATCATCATCACCCCCCCAACACACCAAATACCAGAGACACAAAATACTCATTTTCTTCAGGATAACACCAGAAGTCTAGAAGATACACTTCTTTCTAGCATTTCACAGATGCATCTAAACCATAAGACATGTTCCTAAGGAGAGTATCTTGACAGGGACACATGTGGTGTTATTGAGTGATACACAAATTTCCCATAAGCCATTGCATTAGGAAAAGACCATTCTATCAAAGATGATGTAACACTCTAACTAAATTTAAGAAGGAACTTAAATAGCAGGACTATATTGCAAAGAGTCTAAATAAAAGTGGGCCTGGTTGTCAGAGGATGAGGGAAGGCATGGCTGCCATCCAGTGGGCTGGGGAGCAGAGGACAAGCAGAGCCCTACCTGATAGGCATCAGGAATGTTGACAGTTTCTCCATGTTCCCCGACATAGCCAATGATGCCTTTGCCCCATGGGACCTGCACCTCATTTGAGTTCTCTGTGCTGCTGCAGGGAAGCAGTGGGGTTCCTGCATGCACATCAAAAAATTTGGAGACCAAACTCTTCTTGCCAGCAGCTGCCCCCTCCACTAAGAAGAGAGAGCAGCGGTCAGCGTCCACCATGAGACAGACAAAGATGAGGATCTTGTAGCTCAGGCTGGTGAGGTCAAGGTCATTGGAGATGTCCTTGACCAGTTCCAGGAAAAACTGGCGTTCGTTATGCTTTTTGAGGTGGCATTTGTAGTCGATGGCCGTAGGGGGATACTGAGGCAGATTCACCCTCGATTCCAGCAGGGCACTGAGAATGTGGGCTGTGGTAGGGGGCAGAGAGCTGGCCTTCCTGAGCAGGGCCCTCCGCCGGACACTGCTCATGGGCTCCTGGGCCCGGGAGGTCACCTGTTCATCGTAGGTCCTGTTCACGTGGATGGCTTTGGAGCGGGCAAAGCTCTTCCGCAGTTCTTTCTGCGAAGCTTTCCGCTGCAGGTTCCCATCGCCCCGACTGCCACTAGCCCAGCTGGGACTCAAGGGAACCCCAGCACTTTCCCCACCACCTGGCATGGGATGGCTGTTGGCAGAGCCCTGGGGTCCAGCACCACCACCTATCCCAGGGCTGCCTCTGCCACTACCCTGAGCCAAGCTGCCAGTGCTAGTCAGGGCAGGCTTCAGGCCTGAAGCCCCCTGTCCCGGACTGTGCCTTCTTAGCCACTTGTCCACCAGCTCCTGCTTCCCTTTCCGCATCAAATAATCTTCCAACAACTCTGGGTGCCTATCCAGAAAAGTTTCCACCTCCCCGAAGTCCAGGCTGGAGGCTGCCATGGTCCAAGGCACCCCTTGCCTCGTCTCTCTACTCTTAGATCACGTTAACCTGTCCCGAGGCCTCTAGCTGTTGCTGCACATGGTTAGCCACACCAGTGTCCCCAGCTCGTTGCTACCTCCGTGCGGGCCAGCGGGAGGGG